AGAGTTTTAAAACTGTGTTTAGAGGCTGGGTGAGACGACTCATACCTGTAATCCCAGCAGTTTGGGAGGCAGAGGTGGGAGGATTGCTTGCATCCAGGAGTTCGAGACCAGCCTGGGCAACATGATAAATCCCCATCTCTACAAAAAAATACAAAAATTAGCTGGGCACAGCGGTGCATGCCTGTAGTCTCAGCTACTCAGGAGGCTGAGGAAGGAGGATTGCCCGAGCCTGGGAGATTGAGGCTACAGTGAGCCGAGATCACACTACTACACACCAGCCTAAGCAACAGAGCAAGAGACTCCGTCTCAAAAAAAAAAAATTAGCTGGGCATGTTGGTACACGCCTGTAATCCCAGCTACTTGGGAGGCTTAGGCAGGAGAATCACTTGAACCCGGAAGGCAGAGGTTACAGTGAGCCGAGATTGTGCCACTGCACTCTAGCCTGGGTGACAAAGCAAGACTCCATGTCAAATAATCATAATAATAAAATAATAATAAAATAAAAAATAAAAAGTGGGTCTTGAAAGAGTATTCAGATGCAGTTGTCTCGGGGCATTGGAGTTCCATGGCATCTTTTCAAATATTTCAGTAACGTTTTAGACCATTGTCTTATTTATTGTCATTGGGGGAAAGGCTTATGGGGTGCCTGTGTAAACCAGCCATAAAAATATGGGACAATAAGTTGTGGAAAGCCACAAGAGGCCTCTGAGGAGGAAAGCCTTCTTATCGCCATTATGTTCCCATGCTCAGAGTGAGACCCACTCTCTTATCCATAAACACTGTGTTCAAGGAGAAAGACACTCCTTTGAAGCACTGGAATGTGGACAGATGTGCAGGCTCCTAGTTAAGCTGCTCCCACTAGCTGCTCTCCGAAGGACAGCACAAAGGAGATTCATTTAAACCACCACTGCTATAGATTACGCGTGTGACGCACTGCCTCTCTTTCACCATTTCGCCCTGAACGTCTGCTTCTTAGATCTAAGTGACTGCACTCAATAAATAGTGAGGAGACCAGAACTTGGTGCCTTTTGCAGCCTCCGTTGTGCAATTGGCCCCCTGGCCCCCACTCTTTGTGACCTCTTAACCTGTCTCTTCTCATTCCTTCATCGCCACTGGACTTTGGGTACCCTACGGGTGATGTTGAGGCTGGTCTCCAACAATTATTTATGCAACCCTTCCAGTACCCACGTACAGCGTACAGCCAGCAGCCCCTTTAAGGGAACATAACTCTCCCTGGCTGGCCAATAAATAGTCCTGAGCCAAGCAGTCATCAGCTGTTGCGTCTGTCCTTCATGAAAAGCATCTAAAGCATTAGCTATCCGCCATGTGTGGTGACAGTGTGCTGAATGTTTTCCGATGGCTTCCTCGTTTGAGTTGACAGGACGACATCATGTGTGCCAAAGGCAGTGCCTGTCATGGCCCGAAAAGTATGTGCAATGAGCAGAAAATTAGCACACTTGTGTCAAGAGGAGGTTTGGGAGTGGGTGTGAGATGGAGCAGGGACTCCCTCCTTGGGACCTGTGGGTCTTCCAAGCATAGAACTAAAGAACAATCTTGTGTTTCTTCAAGGTAAATTTCAGTCACCTACTTAGCCTCAAGAGGTAAATAAGCAACTTGATAAGCAAGAAGGTAACAGTAGCCTAAAACAATAGCCAAGGAAGCTAGAATCATGGGATGTTTCATTCTCCTATAGAAACTAAAGATGGTTAGGCATGGTGACTCACGTGTGTAGGCCCAGCACTTTGGGAGGCTGAGGCAGGAGGATCGCTTGAGGCTGGGAGTTTGAGACCAGACTGGGCGACATGGCAAAACCCTGTCTCTACAAAAAAAAAAAAAGAAAAGAAGAAAAAATTAGCCTGGCATGGCAGTGTGTATCTGTAATCTCAGCTACCTGGTAAGCTGATGTGGGAGATCTCTTGACCCAGAAAGTGGAGGTTGCAGTGAGCTGTGATCACACCACTGCACTCCAGCCTGGGCGACAGAGCAAGACCCATCTCAAAAAAGAAAACTAAAGATATTTTTTTTTTTTTTTTTCGAGACGAAGTCTCGCTCTGTCACACCA